CCCAATTACTCGCACTTACGTGTGTTTGGCTGTTTGTGCTTTGCCTCTACTCACGCCTATAAACCTTCCAAATTTGATCCTCGTTCCCGTCGTTGTGTCTTTCTTGGGTACCCATATGGCCAAAAGGGTTATCGACTTTTCGACCCCCATCTTAACAAAATTTTTGTCTCTCGGGATGTGCTTTTTTTTGAAAATCATTTCCCTTATCATTCTACCACTTCCGCTGCTCAACCACAGTCCATTCTACCCCCACATCCCTTATTACCCATTGCTGTCGATCCCTTTCCTGTCCCACGACCCATACTACCCTCCACATATACACCCACTGAGCCATCCACCTCCCACACACCCACTGAACCATCCTCCGAGCCCTCACCCTCCCCACCTCCTTCTCCTCATTCCCCACCTGTTACACCCCACCTGCACCATCCCCCGACACCACCATTCTCTATTCCCCCTCCCCAACTCAACCTGTTCTACCCACTCCACCACGCCGTAGCACACGCCCCACCAAACCCTCTTCTTTTTTGCAGGACTTTCATGTCGAGGTTGCTCTCCCGTCCAGACCTGCTCCCGCTTCTTCTACGAACGTGGCTCTTTCCTCGTCAGGTACTTCTCATCCTCTCTCCACTTCTTTGTCCTATGATCGACTCTCTTCTCACCATAAGGCCTACATCACTAATCTTTCTCTCATTCGAGAACCTACGAGCTTTTCCCAGGCTGTCCGTGATTCACATTGGCGTGATGCCATGCACCATGAGCTGGCTGCTCTTCAAGCCAATCATACCTGGACCCTCGTGACTTTGCCGCTGCATAAACGTCCCATTGGTTGTAAATGGGTTTACAAGATCAAACTCAAACCTGATGGCACCGTTGATCGGTACAAAGCCCGCCTTGTTGCCAAAGGTTACAGTCAAATTGAAGGGGTTGATTACCAAGAAACCTTTGCTCCTGTCGCCAAGTTAACCACCGTCCGTGTGCTCCTAAGTGTCGCTGCTGTGCAAGGTTGGCATCTTCATCAGCTGGATGTCAACAATGCTTTCTTAAATGGTGACCTTGCCGAGGATGTCTACATGACCTTGCCTCCTGGTTTCGGACGAAAGGGGGAGACTCGAGTATGCAAGTTGAATAAATCCCTCTACGGTTTAAAGCAAGCTTCAAGGCAATGGTTCATTAAGTTATCTCATGCTCTGAAGGCTGCTGGATTTGTTCAATCACGGTCCGACTATTCACTATTCGTCCGAAGTCGTCATGGTAACTTCATTGCTTTACTGGTATATGTTGATGATGTGATATTAGCAGGGAATAATCTGCATGAAATTGAAGAAACCAAGAAGTTCCTCTCTCAGCGTTTCAAGCTCAAAGACTTGGGGCAACTCAAATACTTCTTGGGAATAGAAGTTGCACGATCAAAGCATGGAATTACTATATGCCAACGTAAATATGCTCTCGAAATATTGGAAGATGCTGGGTTTCTAGGCGTTAAGCCTTCTCGGTTCCCTGTGGACCAAAATTTGTCACTCACACAAATGGAAGGAAAGGAGCTGAATGACCCTTCATCGTATAGACGACTTGTGGGCAGGTTAATATACTTGACCATAACAAGGCCTGACTTGGCTTATGCTGTTCACATGCTAAGTCAGTTCATGGAGAAACCTCGGCAACCACATCTTGATGCTGCACACAAGGTCCTCAAGTACATTAAACAAGCACCTGGACAAGGGATTTTTCTTCCTTCCACAGGCTCATTGCAATTACAAGCATTTTGTGATGCTGATTGGGCTAGATGTCGAGATACCAGAAGGTCGATAACAGGGTTCTGCATTTTGCTTGGTCACGCACCTATTTCTTGGAAGACTAAGAAACAAACGACAGTATCTCGTTCGAGTGCAGAGGCCGAATACCGTTCCATGGCCACCACATGTTGTGAAATTGTATGGCTGAAGAATATTTTGAAGGACCTAGGAGTGAACCATTCGCAGCCAGTGAAGTTGTTTTGTGACAATCAAGCAGCATTACACATTGCTTCAAATCCTGTTTTTCATGAAAGAACGAAGCACATAGAAATCGATTGTCATCTAGTACAAGAAAAGATTCAAGAAGGAATGGTACGCACGGCTTACATACGGACCAACGATCAACCAGCTGATATTTTCACTAAGCCGTTGAGTTCAACACAGTTCGAAGTTCTCCTTGGCAAGTTGGGTGTTATTAACATACACTCCAACTTGAGGGGGAGTGTTAAGGAAAATATCTCTATTATTTAGTCAATATTGTAAATTGATATTGTGGTTATTTCCTTTCCTATTTAGTTTCTGGACAAGCCTTACTTGTAGGCTATAGTTTAGGTTTTCCTTTACCCGTATGGTTGTATAAAAGCTGTAAACCTAGTTGTTCAATAAACAAGAATTACAATCCCATTCCGTGATTCTTATGATTACACAACCTACATGGACCACCAAAGTAACTAGGAGTTAATTCGTTCTTTGGTGCTTGAATGCTGATGCGGGCATGCCTATTTGCTACCAAAACTTGGTCAGGCGAAGGTCTTGAATGGTGAATGTGGTGAAATGTGATGCTGATTTATGAATTAAGTGATGCCAATTGGCATAACCTTAGTTTCACACACTAGGCCTTGGATTCTATAACCTGAAGACAAGGTTATGCCAATTGCTGTGAAGTTTAATAATGATTCGGCTATCTGTGTGCCGAAGTTTAAAAGTAACATGAAAATAACACCTCGCTTCATCAAGAAAGCTGATGAAGTGACGTCTTTCAGCAAAAGAATAAAAAATTCTTCGGCGGCTAAGACTTGGATAAACAGTCAGATAGACTTGGAAAAATCCCTGTCTAACCAAACAGTCGAAACTCCTATGGTAAACTGAATCTACAACACTAGCCCTGTTTAACCAGACGGCCGCCTTTGCTGGTTGCTTCTAGAAAGTCCCGTCTACCCAATCGATCGTCCTTCGTCGGCTGCCAACCCAAACTCGCCTAACTAGACATACTTTGTGTTGATGGTTAGTAAGCAATTTAGTTTTCTCAAAAGGTGTGAGAGATTTTGCATTGAGCGTTGATTTGGATTTTGAGTTCAAGCTCTCCTCTACATTGCAAATTCTCTTGTATTTACTGGAAAAAAAAAAATTCATTGATTGCCAAGTCTGCCGAGTTGTATCATAAAAGTAGTCTCCTCCCCCATGACATTCTATGAGGTACATAGTTGTTTTCGGATATTACAAAATGTTAGGACAGTCTACTGGTGCACAATGGCATGGTTGTCAAAGTTATAGCTCATAATGTAACTTACAATTCACAATTAAACGTCTTAGATATTGAACTCAAGTCTCTTAGAGTGAGAAACTAACTGATGTTAACAGCCAGATGTAGTGTGTTTATGAACTGGTGAATAATGTCAACACCCTTCTTCTTACTTGTATGAATAAACTTCTCCCAATCTTTCCTCCCAAGTAGTTTAGCAGAAGGCAAGGGACCATTTTCTATTTCGACATATCAGAAGATGTATGACTAGTATGGTTCAAAACTGCTGATGAGAAAAGAATTGTTGCATTCTAATAATTACCTTTATAGGTGATGAACCTGATTGGCGAAAAGGAAAAGTTGCGGTAATGGTGGATGATATGGTTGACACTGCTGGTCAGTGAAGTGTTTACCTCGCTTGAACCATTTCATCTGAGATTTTATCTTTAAAAAATTGCTGGCATTTCTCACTTTCTAAACAAGTAATATGTTGTAGGGACAATTTCAAAAAGAGCAGCTCTATTACATCAGGAGGGGGCAATAGAAGTCTATGCTTGCTGTACCCATGCTGTGTTGACGTACCAACCTCCTTTGTAGTGTTTAATCTTCTTCTTCCATTTCACTAAATAACCTTCGTTGTTATTACCTCTTTCTAGAGATAACCTTCGTCTCCTCGTTTGACGGTACAACAGTATAACTTAGATTTTGTTTTTCCTTTTTAAGTTTATAAAATGGTTTGTAATTCTAGCTGGCAATTACTGATCCAAGTTCCAATTCTACTAAATAAGAATCGATTATCCACCTTATCTACTACCACCTGTTAATTTTCAATTTGATATCGATATGAACCCACAACTGAGTTTATTTTGCTAGTTGTTTAATCATTGTGTAACGTAGTGGTGATACCGTCTGAATCATAAGATAGTGACCTTGTTGGTTTTTCTTTACAGCCTTCCTGCAATAAAGAGGTTGTCAAATGGCCTGTCTCAAGAGGTGATTGTGACAAGCACAATTCCTATTGCAGAGAAGAATTACTTTCCCTGTTGACGGTCCTTTCAGTAGCAAACCTTTTGGGCGAAACTATATGGCGTGTGCATGATGATTGTTCTCTGAGGCAATGCCAGTGACGGACTCCCTTTAAAATCTATGTTATGCTGTTTTCTATATTTCGATCCACATTGGTTTACCCATCCAAGTATTCTGATTTATTAGTTCTCCACATATGTTTAAGTGTTTTTTGGGTGGGGGTGGGGGGAGGGGTTAATGTCCGCACGTAGGTCTCAGGATATAGCTAGGTTGCCTTTTAAGAATTGCAAGAGTTGGAAGATTTGTAATAGAGTAATGTAGAAAGAGATGTCAATTCCAGGAGCTGGTTGGGCTCCTAAAGGGACATCCTGCTTTCAAAGCCAAATTTTGACCTAGTTCAGTGAGCTTATAGCTTAGACAGCTTTGGAAGTTTCAGCTGTTAGGCTTGATGGAAAATCATAAATTGTTATCAGGAGTGTATCCTATAGAGAGTGATTTTTGGCCGCTAGATCTCGGGTTTTGGATCCTTGACCAAGAATTTTAATGGTCAAAACCCTAGTGTACTGTATTTCGAGAAAAGTTATACAAGAAGCTTTATTATATCTTATACATCAAGATTTTTGGCCGTGAAATCTTGGTAAATGGAACTTGACTAAAAATTTAACCTGCAAAATTTCTGGTGCATATATGGCTAGGATACTGTGCAGCATATTAAAAACTCTTATGAATTTGATATTTGATGGAAATTGGTAGTTATTAGTACAAGATGATGACTATTTTCAAGTGATGATAAATTTATTTAAAATATAGCAACATTAATGACATAACACACAACATGGTTGCTAAAACAAGAAAGAAAAAACACAATACATAAAAAAAAAAAAGACAATAGGGGATAAGCTAAGCTTGGAGCCTTCGAGCATGGAAATCAAACCCCGCAATATTCCTTGACAGAAAACCCAGCTCCAACGTTACGATAATTGGCCACATAAAATTGAACATAATCCAACATATGCAATGGCTTATACTTCACGGGGTGGTCGTCTGCGGTAAGCTCGTCCGGCGCGCGTGTCACTCCTTCCAAGTATGAAAATAGTCCAAACGAGTATCTTTCCTCATTCTCCTTCAAATTGACTCTATGTTTACAAGATGGTATTCTGTCATTGCTCCAAACCTAGGCAAGAAAAAGCATAGATTATAGTTGATCACTAGAAATAGAACCCCTTTTAGCCTATGACAGCCTCATTTATATCCATGAAACAGAATGATTAATGGAAGTGTATGGTGGCATACCTGAAATCCATCACATGCCATGAATAGGAAGGACGAAGGCAAAGGATCAAAACCAATCCATTTGTTATCTTTTGTATATATCTCAAGACCTTTGACATGATTTTGGTGGAGTATGGTAGTTAAAGTCTTGTCTGTATGCCCGGATAGACCCTGTCCAGTTCCGATTTTCTCAGGTTTCTTATATTTGTTAAAGCGGAGAGTGGACACAGTCGATTGAAGGTGATCGTCAAGGTGTTTTTCTACGTTGTAGTTTTCGAATACCATTCTTGTCACCGCTTGATTTAGTTCTGCCATCACTCTTCTATACGCATCAGCAGTCTCACTAGACAAAAGAACATTGTAAAAGGTGAGTCGATATATCCCAAACTCAATCATTTATCAAATGTATACTAAACCATACCGATATTGATCATTTCCATTAGGCCAAAAATGATGTTCGAATATTCGCGATTTTTCACTGTCTGTACCAGTTGCCAAGCTTTCATGGAAAGGCCCCGTTACATGACCATCAATTAATGGTTGTTCCTGCGGAGTTTGCGCTTTAGTTTCAATTGGGAAATCAAACAGCTCTTTTAATGTCCCAAACATGCTGTCGTGAAGCTCAGGTGAAACTTTGTTGGGCAAGACTGCCATGAAACAACCAAACTCTTCGAGTGCACGGCAAACATTCCCACGTACTGAGAGCCAAGAACTTGTCCCTGGCTTCAAGCAATCCTCTTGGGAGAAATCTACTACTGGAATTTTGGGTACCGTTTGGGTAACACTTGTGACACTCATCTTTTTCTTTTCACAAGTTAAGAGTATTGAACTAGAAGCTGTAAGGGTATTGAACTAGAAGCTCCTAGGATATTGAACTAGAAGCTGTAAGTTCTCAACCGATTAAACTGATATTTATAGAGTAGCTAAGTCGTGTGTTTCTGATTTGTCTATGAACTATGGTTATCTTTTTGTTAGAATTCCTTTGTCCCACATCGGCCAGAAGGTTTGAGAACAAGCCTTTTGTTGATGCACAAAATCGGCGAGGACTTTGGTACAACAGAAAGTGTCAAGTTTGTGACTTTCGCTAGATTGCTCTGGTCATTAGTGTGGAGAAGTATGTAAATGAATAGAGACAGGGAAGCAAATAACACAAGATGTACGTGGTTCACCCAGATTGGCTACGTCAACAGAGTAGAGGAGTTCTCATTGGTTGTGAAGGGTTTACACAAATACATAGGTTCAAGCTCTCTTTTTGTGAGTTCTAGTGAATAGTTTAGTACAAATGACATTAGGGATTATTGTGGGAGAATGATCCCCTTTTATAGAAGAGAGTTTCTAGCTTTGTTCTAACATTGACACGTGTCGTGTTGTGATTGGCCTCTAATATCGACATGTGTCGCGCTGTGATTGGCTTCTGATACCGACATGTGTCGTGTTGTGATTGGCCTTCTGGTTGGAGGAAAAATCTTGTTGGTCATTGACGGTATGCTGTTGACCGGTGCTTAGTAGTTTCGGGATTGGTCAAGTATGGTACAAACACCCTTTAAATAGAATTACCCCACTCTAACTAATTCCGATACTTTTTGCAATAAAACCCCACACCTGACGGATTGAGCGGTTGGCCAAGTGGGGACAGTATCGGTGTTGTTGGAGTGGGCCCATTGCTTTAACACTTTTTGCTCACAACAGTTATTGCTCTGTGGACAGAAGACGGCCATATACGTTTTCATGATTATAGAAGATACCAAAGAAAACATTAATTTAGAACTTCAACATCGGCACCAAAGCCAAATTAGGGTTTGATACCAATAGTTGTGACGTCGGAGCTTCATAAGCGTAGGATTGTATCTTAAAAGACCTCGGTTTCATCAGAAATGAACCACCTTTATTGTCGTAACTTGCACTTCTTCGATGTAGGATTCTCTTCAAAATCATGTTGGCCCCAACTTAACACCAACATGAACACCAAAAAATGTGATTTATGTCGAATATTATTAACTAGCTACGTACTACTTCTTTTATAAGTCAACTTGTGTTCATATTATTACAAGGAGCTATTATTAGCACTCTAAAAATATCATCATTACTTCGAATTTGTAAAAATATTAAAAATAAATTTGTAAAGAAAAAGTGCAAGACGACATATTTTAGTGACGACAACAGCACTCGAATCATATACTGGCTGCAAATTCAGTCGACTTGTGTTCTTGTAATTTAGTGATCAATCCCTTTAGTTCTGGAGTGGATTTACATTGTTAGATTATTTTATCTCTATCAATTATGATGCGTTAAGGAATAACAAGTCGGCATATTTTATTTTTTTCTCTTATCAATTATGATGCGTTAAGAAATAACAAGTCGGCATATTATGGCCTAACTTTTCTTCATATTTTTCCTTTAGGCGACTACTTTTCTTCATACCAGTTTTGGCCCGACTTTCCGAGCTTATGTATTTGTTTTCCGAAACCATCCGGCAATGAAGGCGAGGGCGAGAACAGGGGCATAGGCTAAAGCTCAACTTTGGCAGGATGTTCTTAATGAAAACAAGGGTGAACAACCGGCGAAGTAACAATCACTCTTAGGTTCTTGTCTTCAAAATAAATTAATCCTCAAAAATAAATTAATCAGCAAAATAACATTAAAAGGTAACTTATATTTTGCACCCTCAAGTTTAGGTGCAATTACAAGTCCATATTTCAAGTATAAAATGCGGCAATATCATACATAAACTTACGAATTTATTGGAATATGAATCTGGAAAACCGAATTGAACTTGATGCAAGGCGCAGCAGGGAGAAAATGAAAAGATGAAATGGATAAGTAGGGTTCCCTATCTCCTAGTGCAATGAGAGGCCTAAAAACCCTAGATGCCTACGACGTAGACAACTAGAAGAACAAAGTAACAACTCTAATTTATTCTAAAAGCACTTTCAATCATTTTAAAAGGACATTCAAACGAGCCCAAAGGCACTTAAAAACGAATTTACAACTTTAATTTCAATATGATAATTCAAACAACTTCAAATTTATTTGCCCTACAAATACAAGTATTTATAGATTTACAACTTAAAGTGAAAAATATGAAAAGACAGATGAAATAAACTTACAATAAAACTCCCAAAAAACTAAAAGATTTCAGTTAATACTAGATCTCATAAGTCACAAATTAAAGCAGGATACATGCATTATCTCTAAATATGCATGTATTTTACTATCACTTTAATCCCTTAATGCCATAGCTGCCACTAAGTTCATGTAATAATGATCTTGGTTCATGGCCTGGATTAAAATTGTAAGAAAAAGTTCTTCGCCTAGCCACCGCCAGTCCCGTCAGCTCCGCCTAATCCCACCTAGGCATCCGCCTAATATGGTTTCCGATTTTGTAACCGATTCGATGTAAATCATGGCTGTCGCTGACCATCCAACGCCTAGGCCAATTTTTAGAACAATATTTCCATTAGGTATAACATAAGATTTTGTGATATCTGATAGTGTATATATTTTAAATTGAAGATCGAATTCGTTCATTGTATTCTTATAGGGTGGAGGAGTGTAGCTATAAAAAATATTTAAAAAATTAAAAAAAAAATCATCAAAATCGGATCTAAAATAACTTTTAAATCGTGATTTTTCCTTTATAACCGTGAAATTTTTGTCCCGTTACCTAACCTCTGAATATTTATTTTTTGTGATTTTTGATGTGTGTGATATCGGAGTATAAACAAACAATTTTGACGGTTGGACTGTTGAATTTTTTTTTTTTTTTAATTGTGTATCTTGTCAAAATGATGGATTCAAACAAAATCATACATTTTGACAAAAAAAAAAAAAGGTATACATAATTAAAAAAAAAATTGAAAGAGGCGGGAGAATAAAATTTTGGAGACTACTGAATATGGTCAAAAATAAATATTTACAACAAGCTAGACTGTCAAAAATACATATTTCATTGTTGGACATAAAATTTCTGACACTCGAGTTTTTGTCAAAAATATATCATCGCAAAAAAATAGATGTCATATGGAAAGTAATTTTAATAATCATTTAAGTATTTGCGACCATATTAACATGTCGGAAATGAAGAAGTTTGTCATTTTCAAATTTTGATCTGACGAAAACTAACTACTAAGGACAGGTTTTGTGCGTCGATAAAAAAGTATTTTCAATGGCAGGTCAAAAAAAAGTATTTTACATTGAAAAATTTACGCAGCCAAGCGAGGACTTTTTTTCCAGCAAAATAAGTATTTGCAACGGCAAAATGGCTTACCTACAGCATTTGACCCTCGCTAGTAACCTTTTTTTTTTTTTTTTTTTTTTTTTTGTAGATCAAGGATCACATGCTTCATTGCACATGACAAACACCATAAGTTTTAGAGAACACGAAACTATTACAAGTGAATAAAAAAATCCTTAAGCTGAATTACCTCGCAATATACATGATCCATTGGAATATCAAAGTAACCCAATGACTGCCCACAATGAATATCAAAATACCTCGCAATTTACATTGTTAGATTATTTTTATCTATAAATTAGTGATTGTTACTTTGCTGGTTGTTCACCCTTGTTTCATTGAGAACATACTACCAAAGTTGGGCTTTAGGGTTTGGCCTTATTCTCGCCCTTGCTTTTCGTCGCCGGATGGTTTCTGTAAAACAAATATATAAGCTATGAAGGCCAAATGCTTCAACCAAAATATGCCGACTTTTTATTCCTTAACGCATCACTAATTGATAGACAAAAATAATCTAACAATGTAAATTGGCCCCAGAACTAAACTAAAGGGATTGGTCACTAAATTACAAGAGCACAAGTCAACTCAATTTGCAGCCAGTATATAATTCTGGTGTTGTCGTTAACACTAAAAAAATGTCTTCTAGCACTATTTCTTTACAAATGCTCTCTTACATTTTTACAAATTCGAAGTGCATGACATTTTTGGAGTGTCAAAAATAACTCTATATTGGAACACAAGTTGACTTATAAAGGAAAGTAGGTAGCTAGTTAATAATATTTGACATAAATCACATGTTTTGATGTTCATGTTGGTGTTAAGTTGGCGGCAACATGGATTTCAAGAGAATCCAACATCGAAGAAGTACAAATTACGACAATGTAGGAGGTTCGTTTTTTATTAAACCGAGGTCTTTTAAGATAAAATCCTACGCTCATGAAGCTCTGACACAACAATTGGTATCAAACCCTAATTTGGCATTGGCGCAGATGTTGAAGTTCTAAATTAAGTTGTGAGCAAACAGATAACCATAGTTCACAAAGAAATCAGAAACACACAACTTAGCTACTCTGTAAATATCAGTTTAATCGGTTGAGAACTTACAGCTTCCAGTTCAATATCCTTAGAGCCCTCAAAACCTCTTAACTTGTGAAAAGAAAAAAGAGGAGTGTCACAAGTGTTACCCAAAAGGTACCCAAAATTCCAGTAGTAGATTTCTCCCAAGAGGGTTGCTTGAAGCCGGGAACAAGTTCTTGGCTCTCAGTACGTGGGAATGTTTGCCGCGCACTTGAAGAGTTTGGCTGTTTCATGGCAGTCCTGCCCAACAAAGTTTCACCTGAGCTTCAGGACCGCATGTTTGGGACATTAAAAGAGCTGTTTGATTTCCCAATTGAAACTAAAGCTCAAACTCCGCAGGAAAAACCTGTAACTGATGGTTATACATCTACGCCTTTCCATGAAAGCTTGGCAGCTGGTACAGACAGTGAAAAATCACGCACATTCGAACATCACTTTTGGCCTAATGGAAATGATCAATATCGGTGTGGTTTTGTTTACATTTGATAAATGATTGAGTTCGGAATATACCGATTCACCATTTACATTGTTGTTTTGTCTAGTGAGAGTGCTGATGTGTATACAAAAGTGATGGCAGAACTACAACAAGTGGTGACAAGAATGGTATTCGAAAACTATAATGTAGAAAAATACCATGATGATCACGCCCAATCGATTGTATCCGCTCTCCGCTTTATGAAATATAAGAAACCCGAGAAAACCGGAACTGGACAGGGTCTACCCGCGCATGCAGACAAGACTTTTACTACCATACTCCACCAAAATCATGTCAAAGGTCTTGAAATATATACAAAAGATAACAAATGGATTGGTTTTGATCCTTTGCCTTCATCTTTCCTGTTCATGGCGTGCGAAGGATTTCAGGTATGCCACCATACACTTCCAGTAATCTTTCTATTTCATGGATATAAACGCGGCTATGTCATATAGGCTAAAAGGGGCTCTATTTCTATATGGATTAACTTCCCTCTTCACCTGTACGAGTGATCTGAAGTTCAAATCCCGTAAATAATCCATGTTTTTTATTGCCTAGGTTTGGAGCAACGACAGAATATCATTTTGTAAACATAGAGTCAGTTTGAACAGAAATGAGGTAAGATCCTCTTTTGGACTATTTTCGTACTTGGAAGGGGTGATACGCGCACCGGACGAGCTTACCGCCGAGGACCACCCCCTGAAGTACAAGCCATTGCATATGTTGGATTACGTTCAATTTTTTCTGGACAATCATCGTAATGTTGGAGTAGGGTATTCTGTCAAGGAACATTGCGGAATTTGATTTCCATGTTCAAAGGCTCAAAAGCTCAAAGGCTCCAAGCTTAGCTTATCCCCTACCGTCTCTCTCTTTCAAAACGTTTTGTGCTTTTTCTTTTTTATTTTAGCAACCATGTTGTGTGTTTGTTTTCAATTACAAATGGAATTATGTCATTAGTGTTGCTATATTTAAATAAATTCATCACCACTTCAAAATAGTCATCTTGTACTAATAAGTGCAACTTCCATCACATATCAAATTCGTAAGAGTTTCTAATATGCTCCGCAGTAACCCATACACCAAATTTTGCAAGTCAAATTCTTGGTTAGGTTCCAATAATCAAGATCTATTGGTCAAAAATCTCGATGTATAAGATACACCAGAGCATTGTACAATTTCTTTTCTTCGAAATATGGTACAATAGGATTTTGACCATTAAAATTCTTGGTTAAGGATCCAATGCCCGAGATCTAATGGCGAACAACCACTCTGTATAGGATACACACCTGATAACAAATTATGATTTTCCATCAACCCTAACGGCTGAAACTTCCAGGGCTGTATAAGCTATAAGCTCACCGAACTAGGTCAAAATTTGGGTTTGAAAGCAGGATGTCCTTTAGGAGCCCATCTCCTGGAATCGACATTTCTTTCTACATTACTCCATTCCAAATCTTCCAACTCTTACAATTCTTAACGCAACCTATATTCTGAGACCTACTTGGGGACATTAGCTCCTCCCCCCACCCCCACCCGAAAAATCTGTGGAGAACTAATAAATCAGAAACCTTGGATGGGTAAACCAATGTGGATCGAAATATAGAAAACAGCATAATATAGATTTTAAAAGGAGTCAGTCACTGGCAATGCCTATCATCGTCCATGCGCCATATGGTTCTGCCCAAAAGGGTGTCGGTCACTGAAATATGCTACTCACAGAACAATCATCATGCACGCGCCATATAGTTTCGCCCAAAAGGTTTGCTACTGAAAGGACCGTCAACTGGGGAAAGTAATTCTTCTCTGCAACAGGGATTGTGTTTGTCACAATCACCTCTTGAAACAGGCCATTTGACAACCTTTCGATTGCAGGAGGGCTGTGAAGAAAAACCAACAAGATCATTATCTTATGATCGATATGGTAACACCACCACGTTACACAATGATTAAACAACTAGCAAAATAAACTCAGTTGTTGGTTCATATCGATATCACATTGAAAATTAACAGGTGCTAGTAGATAAGGTAGATTATCAATTTATCAATTCTTATTTAGTATAGGTGGAACTTGGATCAGTAACTGCCAGCTAGAATTACAAGCCATTTTATCAACTTAAAAAGAAAAACCAAAATCCAAGTTATACCAGTCAAATGAGGGGACGAAGGTTATCCCTAGAAAGAAGTAATAACAATGAAGGTTATTTAGTGAAATAGATTAAGAAGATAAAACACTACAAAGGAAGTTGGTACCTAAACACAGCATGGGTACTGCAAGCATAGACTTCTCTTGCCCCCTCCTGATGTAATAGAGCTGCACCTTTTGAAATTGTCCCTACAACGTATCACTCGTTTAGAAAGTGAGAATTGCCAGCACTTTTGAATGATATATCCCACATGAAATGGTTCAAGAAAGGTCACTTGACTCACCAGCAGTGTCAATCATATCATCCACCATAACCGCAACTTTTCCTTTTACATCGCCAATCAGGTTCATCACCTATAAATGTAAATATTAAAATGCAACAATTCTTTGCTCATTAGCAGTTTTGAACCATACTAGTCATACATTTTCTGATATGTCGAAATAGAAAATGTTCCCTCGCTTCCCGCTAAACTACTTGGGAGGAAAGATTGGGAGATGTTTATTCATACAAGTAAGAAGAAGGGCGTTGACAATATTCACTAGTTCACAGACAAGCTACATCTGGCTGTTAACATCAGTCAGTTTCACACTCTGTAAGACACTTGAGTTAAATATCCAATACGTTTATTTGTGAATTGTGAGTTACACTAGGAGCTATAACTTTGACAATCATGCCATTGTGCACCAATAGATTGTCCTAACATTTTGTAATATCCCAAAATAACTATGTACCTCATAGAAAGTCATGGGTGTGGAAACTACTTTTAAGAGGATGGGTAATGGCAGAGAAATGTGACAAGTAACATGATTTATATCTTGAAGCCAATTGATGAGAACAAAAACTTCTGTGAGAACGACTGCACACAATTTGTTATATCTATCTCCTAATATAATGTTGCATGTCAAGCATTATACGCTATACAAAGATCTAAGCAGGGTTATGGTGAAGAGATTACCTCAGCAACATTATGTCCGTGACGCCTTTTGTCTACAATGGCTAAAGGTGCATCAGATAACTTTTTTGCAAAAGCACGTGCTCTTGCAACTCCCCCAACATCAGGGGACACCACTACCAAATCATCTGAACAAATTGTCTTGCTTGCAAGATAATCAAGGATCACAGGCTTCATTGCACGAGACAAACACCGTAAGTTTTACAGAACACGAAACTATTACAGGTGAAGAAAAAAAATCCTTGAGCTGAATACCTCACAATATACATGATCCACTGGTATATCAAAGTAACCTATTGACTGCCCAGAATGAATGTCACAAGCAAGGACGCGGTCTGCACCTGCTATGGTTATGAGGTTAGCAACCAGTTTGGCTGCAATGGATTCACGCCCTTGAGTCTAGAGAAAAATAGAAGAATGCAAATTAAGAAATAATACTTTATCCGTCTCTATAAGTATAATTCAGTTCAAATGACAGACAAGCCATGCCTCAATTAAAATAGATGTGAATAACTGTAAATATGAAACTTTGCTCTGGTTGCAAACTTAATTGATATCCCCTCCCATTGATAAAGCATGAATAAAACCACTGAGACTGCAACACTTTCCAAGTTTTGTTTGTAATCTTTGATCTCCATATATTTCCGACAGATAGATATCCACGACAAGTTCATGTACAACACAGATGAATATAAACTTGCCTTTCTATCAGCTCTGGCATATCCAAAATATGGAATTACTGCAGTAATGTTTTTGGCCGATGCCCTCCGGCAAGCATCAATTACTATCTGTAGCTCCATGAAGTTCTCATTTACAGGAGGGCAGGTTGGCTGCAGTAAGAATACATCACATCCTCTAACACTCTCTCCCAATTGAACATAAACTTCACCATCAGCAAATCGCTTTATGTTGATCTTACCAAGCTCCAATCCCATGTACCAAGCAATTTCCTGCGCATCACCTCAGAGTTAGAAATCATATGAAAAAGGCCTCAAGAGCTATAAGAGATTTATTGTGTTGAAATGACAAACTTAACAAATTTTTGAAGCAATACACAATAGTTCAAAAACAAAAGACATACAATGCATGGCTCATCCTTATCTTTTCAAGATATAAAAATGGAAATGATAAACACGCACCATTTTAGCCTCTCATACACATGCCTAAGAATGTGTTATGGTGCTACATTTTGAATCAAAACCATTGATTATATCAAATCATGCCTAAGGATGTGGTCCAGATTCTTAACATGCGAGACATCTGGTAAGAGAACAGTACCGAGTATATGCAGCATATAAGCTAACACAAACAAAAACACACATGCCCACGCAACGTGTGCACACATATACATATACAAAGACTTTCTGTATTGCTGTAATTCAATGTCAAAAACAGCTTCATAAATTTAAGATGGCAGATAATGTTGAAGTTCAGTCTTGTATTTGTAATGAAGGTTTGAAATAGTGCATCAAACTCAGATAAGCTTCTTTCTTGTGCAAAGAACATCAAGTAAGTAGAGTAGCAAGAACGACGACAATTAACCACTAAGGAGCTGGATTGGAAGCCTTAAGGGCACATTCTGAAACTACTAAGTGGAAGGTCCAAGACATTATATTCTACAACACAAGGCATAATAGTTTATATTCCCAACCGGGGATACTCTGAACAGGCAGAAAATGCAGGAAAGAACTTAAAACAATTTCTGGAAAATTAATAAATATTGGTTCTATGTATAGCAAGAATTCTGTAAGAGTCCTAGTTACTTAAGTATATCATCGTCATTAAAACACTAAACATTTTTTGCTCTATATGCCAACGGGGAAAGCGGAAATGCTCATTGAAAGCATACATACACTAAACTATAAACGAAATTTTGATTACCTGAGAGAGAGCAGGATTTGCTGTTCCAGAAAACAGTTTGAGCCGGGAACTATCTCTGTTCACCGATTTCTCCAAGCGTGCCGATTCCAAGAACTTAGGCAGTGTTGGTTCGTTAACAATCGGAATGATTGCCTTCCCATTTCCGTATTTAATTGGTTCCGGCATACCACATTTCTACCACAATTATATACACACAAATTATTGAAATTTGAAAAGGAATTCATATACCTCATCAGAATTTTATGTAGAAAATGAAAACGAAGACAACAAATTTCTTTAGCTGCACCACAATACCCACTACCAGCATTTCACCCAAAATGTCAAAAACTCACAAAATTTGCACAAAATTCGTATTAAAAATGGAGAAATCCAACACCTAAAAGAAATTTACTTATTAAAAACAAAATAAAAATATTTGCTGTAAGCCTAAAACCAAACAAGCAAAGCAGAAAATAATAAACAGGAATTCAAAGCCGAATCAGAACATAAAATTATGAGCTTGCTTACGACGCTATTAGGAGCGTAGATTCGAGAGGCAGAGTCATTGGGCAGCAGAGTTCTATGGCTGACGGAGCAGCGAGAGAAGAGAGACGAAAACGACGAGGACATTGAAGACGATGAGGCAGCCATTCCTGTATCAATCCAACAATTAGGGTTAGGGTTAGGGTTTTGGAAAAGAGGAGAAGGAGCCTGCCTCTCTGTGTACTTTAAGAGCTCGGTGGCTGTTTATCTATGGCGGGGGTCTCTGTTTTCCACGAATTTCGGATTTTTCATGTTTTTTTTTTCTCTCAAGATATAAACGGTGGGAACACGGAATAAGAATACGACACCGTTTTGAGTGGCTGAGGGTAGGTTTTGTCGTTATCCAAAGGGAGATGGGGCCAGCGAATCCAAGTGAAGTGAGACGCCGGGAATCTTGAATGGATGAACGGCAATCGATTCAAGTCCCAATTCCATGTACTTTAATGTTTTCATATTTTGTTTTCCCTTTATGTTTTTTCTCCTATTCACACACACAATTTCCTTTTTTTTTTAATTTTTTTAAAAGGACATAACTCTTGCCTTTTTGGTATGAAAAATGTGGTACGTTTTGTTTTTGTTTTTGTTTCTATATTTTTTTTTTTGAGTAAATCGATATTTTTATATTAAATGAAGAAAAATTTTGGTCACAATGGGTAGCTAAATTTGGTATTGAATTTGTCATCCACGAGATTCAAACTTAAGATCTCTCACTTCTAGGCGAAAATGAATACTATCATACCGTAGTACTGAGTGGCTGGTGATAGTTTTGTCTTGGGTGGCCAGAATTTTGTTACTAGTTTCTATCTTTTGCCAACTAAAATGGAATCTTATTCACCAAATGCCTTGTTTGATTGGCTAAATGGAGTAGGTTATAATCAACTAAAATACATTTGAATCTAGTCTGTATTTATAGTGTTAAAATATAAAATAGATATGACCGGATATGATGACTTACAAATTTATCTTACAAATCATGCCAATCCAATCTTATTCCTATTACCTAATCCTACCCAGCCGACCAAATGGGCCCAAAAGCAAAGTTCTTTTTTCAATGGTGGAAAAAAAATTTGTCCAAAGTAGTCAAAGCGTTTAATGGTAAACTCCCAAAGGAGAGAGGATCCTCGATTCCAGGGATCATCTACTCACATCCGTTCATCGTGTATTGTGAGATTAGTTTTCGTCAAGTACTGTTTATATTCAATTTTAAATATAAAAAAAATTACAATGATTTCTAATCGCATAATGTATAATGAACGGATGTGATTTAAAAATCCCAAAAATCTTCACAAAGAGGATCCAACGAGAATCCTCACTCCTAAAAGCAGCAGAAAATATTCAAAATTGGCTTGCAAATTTCAAGACTATCTATTTCCGTCACAACTATTGTAAAGTAAATTTCGTGGAGGATGTTCTTGCTATTGTCAGTGTGTCTTCCTTGGACAGCTGGGTCTTGTGGCAAACTGTTCCTGTTGAGGTGTGTTTCTCTTGACTTTGAATTTTTTTTGTAGTTTTGCTTGCCCTCCCTCCGGGCATTTTCTTTGTGACTGTTCTTTACCTATCAAAAACGAAAAAAGATAAAATTTGTACAAAATGGGAGTTGAAGCTCAAGTATCCTTGTTTACATCTATAACTTATTAAGTGAATGGTATAAAATATTTTTACAGAATGGTAGCACGAGGTCATACTAACCTTGGTGCAATATACCTTTTCAAACAATTAATGTCCAATTGACTTCCTAACGAGAGTAAAAAAACTGTGTAAAGACTAAATATCTATGAAATACAAGTTTCATTGCCCTACCATCGTTTAAGACCTTGTTTCCACACATTTAAGTCTGATTAACTCATTCATAGGATATTATCGACATAATATGAAGCTAAACTCGTGATTATTAAAAATTTTCTTTTTATTAATTAAATAAAAAGGAGTTGTGACATTGACCAATGTTACAAAATTGACTTATAGGTCATAACTCAAACAATTTAACAACAAACCACCAGTTGGATCCTCACAACTCACAAATTAGGTGTGAGCCAAATACATTTTAACAATCAATCAATCACATCTCCAAAAACTAAGCTAGGACAGCTAAAAACACAACTCAGTACACCAAATGTCATAATATAATTTGTTAGAAATTTTTTAAAATTCAAACAAATTATATTATTACACTTGGTGTAACAAACATATTCCCGACACATTAATAAATTGTAAACACGAGAAATTCCTGAAACAAGCGACAAGAATACGTGTACAAAATAATATATTTTGTATTAATGATTTTGGGGTTACAATCTCTTTGTAATTTGGTCCTCTGATTCTATCTTCGAAGGGTGTACGTTTGTGGATGAATTGTTGATCCAAAGGGCCGTCGGGGCTTGATCTTAGGATGAACAGTTGATGAATGATGAACACTTTCTTCAAGGGGCCGTCAGGGCTTGATCTTGAGTTGGTGGGAGTTCTTCAAGGGCCGTTGGGGCTTAATCTTGAAGGAGGATGGATGATGAACGATGAACACTTTCTTCAAGGGGCCGTCGGGGCTTGATCTTGAGTTGGTGGAAGTTCTTCAAAGGCCGTTGGGCTTGATCTTGAAGGTTGGTGGATGAGCGGATCTTCAAGGGCTTTTGGGCTTGATCTTGAAGGTTGGTTGGATGTGTGGATTTGTTGAGGTTGTTGATCCAAAGTGGCCGTTGGGGCTTGATCTTAGGATGAACGGATGATGAACGATGAACACTTTCTTCAAGGGCCGTCGGGGCTTGATCTTGAGTTGGTGGAAGTTCTTCAAGGGCGTTGGGGCTTGATCTTGAAGGTTGGTGGATGAGCGGATCTTCAAGGGCTTTTGGGCTTGATCTTGAAGGTTGGTTGGATGTGTGGATTTGTTGATCCAAAGGGGCCGTTGGGGCTTGATCTTAGGATGAACGGATCTTCAAGGGCTTCTGGGCTTAATCTTGAAGGATGAACGGATGTGTGGATGATGAACACTTTCCTCAAGGGCCGTCGGGGCTTGATCTTGAGTTGGTGGAAGTTCTTCAAGGGCCGTCGGGGCTTGATCTTGAAGGTGGATGATGAACGATGAACACTTTCCTCCAGGGCCGTCGGGGCTTGATCTTGAAGGTGGAAGTTCTTCAAGGGCGTTGGGGCTTGATCTTGAAGGATGAACGGATGATGAATGAATCTTCAAGGGCCGTTGGGGCTTGATCTTGAAGGTTGATGGATGATGAACGATGAACGGATGTGTGGATTTGTTGATCCAAAGGGGCCGTTGGGGCTTGATCTTAGGATGAACGGATCTTCAAGGGCTTCTGGGCTTAATCTTGAAGGATGAACGGATGATGAACGATGAACACTTTCCTCAAGGGCCGTCGGGGCTTGATCTTGAGTTGGTGGAAGTTCTTCAAGGGCCGTCGGGGCTTGATCTTGAAGGTGGATTTGACGAAGAACGAAGATTGCTTTCTTGATCCTTCGGGATTTGCTTGAGAGCTTTAGAGTTTCAAGGCTTCTTTCTTTCTTCCTTCCTTCTTTTCTTCTTTTCCTTTCTCCTTCTCCTTCCTTCTTTTTTTTTAAATGAATGCATTGGCCTCCTATTTATAGAATTTCAAAACTTGATTTTTGGATTTAAATAATCAGATGAAATAAATCATTTCTGCCAGGTATTGACACGTGTCATATTTGATGACTTTTCCAATTTATTTCGATTTTTCGTTGAATCACACGCTACATGTAAAATTTATGTGACACGTGAACATTGAAATTTAATTATTGGTCAACATTCATTTCACCGAAATTTTGATGTCTACATAAATCTTTCAAAAAATACATGGATTTCTTTTTTGGAAAAATAGGTCATAGTTGTGGGCCCTACGTACTGCTGCCACTTGCGGCAGCGGCTGCGATGGTTCAAAGTGTGGAAAATCGATTTGCAAGATACAACCAGATGCCTAATATTATTATCGAGATACAGAGATGAGAGGATCAACTTGCACACGTGGTTTGATTTGAAAAATTGACCATAAAACGCGAGGTGGCTGTCGACCCTCAATTCAGCTTCTCAAGTGATCCAACGGTTGGTTTTTCTATGAGATAGACATGACCGGACATGATGAGTTACAAATTTGTCTTACAAATCATGTCAATCCAATTTTATCCCTATTACCTAATCCTACCCAGCCCACCAAATAGTCCCAAAAGCAAAGTTCTTTTTTTAATGGTGGAAAAAAAAAAATCAGTCTAAAGTAGTCAAAGCGTTTAATGGTAAACTCCCCAAAGAGAGAGGATCCTCTTTGTCAGGATTATGAAGATCCTCTAATTATATTCGTTCATCGTGTATTGTGCGATTAGTTTTCGTTAAGTACTGTTTATATTTAATTTTAAATAAAAAAATTTACAATGATTTCTTATCCTATGATGTATGATGAACATATGTGATTTGAGAATCCCAAAAATCCTTACAAAGAGGATCTAGCAAGAGTCCTCACTCCTAAAAAACCAGCAGAAAATATTCAAAATTGGCTTGCAAATTTCAGGACTATCTATTTCCGTCACAATTATTGTAAAGTAAATTTCGTGGAGGATGTTCTTGCCATTGTCAGTTTGTCTTCCTTGAGAGCTGGGTCTTGTGGCGAACTGTTCCCGTTGTGGTGTGTTTCTCTTGACTTTGAATTTTTTTTGTGGTTTTGCTTGCCCTCCCTTCCGGGCATTTTCTTTGTGACTGTTCTTTACCTATCATAAACGAAAAAAACATAAAATTGTCAAAATTTTTGAAAATAAACTATAAAATCGAGAGAGAAAAAGAGAGATAGTGAAGACAAATTAGAGTATTATTTCCATCTCATTAGACTCCTTTATAAAGAGTAAGCATAAATGGGAGTTGAAGCTCGAGTATCCTTGTTTCCATCTATAACTTATTGAGTGAATGGTATAATACATTTTTAAAAATAATAGTAGCGGCGGACCTAGAATTCTGAGTGAGGATGAGCCTCTCACAAATATATATATGCATGTGTGTAAAAGTTGAATTCATAACATGTTAATACATGCAATTTGTGTAATCTTCACAAAACTAAAAACCTGTATTAAATTCAATACTAAGAAGACAAACCTAGATAACCAAGTAAGAGGTAGACTGTGGAAGGCTAAAGAAAATACAAAGAAGTAGAAAAATAAGGATTAGGGGAAGAGGTCTGCAAATAAGGAGAAAGGGGGGTTGCTTTAGAAAATTATAGGGTGTATAGTACCGTTAGCTAAGAGAATCAAACCAGTAGTGGGGTTGGTTTTTCCATTTAAAATGAAATTGCACCTCTCTTCTAAAAACTCCCCTACCAAACTCATCGTTTCATTAAACAGTCAAATAAATTCAAAACCAAAGCAACCTAATGATGTCGTTTGCTTCATCTTCTTCCATGAGGTTCACACCTCTGCAAATAAAAACTTGAGGTCATTGGTTGATTTCATACACCCTTCACAGAAGTCAGGATGGGCCTGAGACTACCCTAATTCGTTGGTGGCACCGCCCCTGAATGGTAGCATGAGGTCATACTAACCTTGGTGCAGTATACCTTTTTAGACGATTATTGTCCAATTGACTTCGTAATGAGAGTAAAAAAAAAACTGTGTAAAGAGTAAATATCTATGAAATACAAGTTTCATTGCCCTACCATCGTTTAAGACCTTGTTTCCACACATCTAAGTCCGATTAACTCATTCATAGGATATTATCGACATAATATGAAGCTAAACTCGTGATTATTAAAACTTTTTCTTTTTATTAATTACATAAAATGGAGTTGCTACATTGACTAATGTTACAAATTTGACTTATAGGTCATAACTCAAACAATTTAACAACGAACCAATAGTTGGATATTCACTACTCACAAATTAGGTGTCAGCCAAATACATTTTAACAATCAATCAATCACATCTCCAAAAACCAAGCTAAGATAGCTGAAGACACAACTCAGTACACCAAATGTCATAATATAATTTGTTAGAACTTTTTTAAAATTCAAACTAATTATATTATTACACTTGGTGTAACAAACATATTCCCGACACATTAATAAATCTTTCAAAAAATAAATGGACTTCTTTTTTCGAAAAATAGGTCATAGTTGTGGGCCCTATGTACTGCTGCCACTTGTGGCAGTGGCGGCGATGGTTCAGAGTTTGGAAAATCGAGTTTCAAGATACAACCAGATGCCTAATACTATATCAGGATACGGAGACAAGATACGATCAACTTGCATACTTGGTTTGATTTGAGAAATTGTCCGTAAAACATGAGGTGGTTGTCGACCCTCAATTTAGCTTCTCAAGTAATCCAACGGTTGGTTTTTCTATAATTGGGTTTTGCTAAGTCATAGGCTCTTAGATGGTGGTGGAGACCTCATCCATCACTCCTACAAAGGAGGTTTTAATCAAAATTGTCCTGAATTTTCAAAACTTATGAATTTGGTTTTTGAGATTATTCATCGTCAATTATTTTAGTTATTCTGTAAAAAAATTCCATTAAATTGAAGGTATTTTTGTCAAATTAACCCCTCCACTTGAATTGGTGATCTTCAATGTAACTAAGTTTTTCACATAATGACCAAAACGATTGACAGTGGACAATCTCAGAGACTATTTTGAATAAAAAGCCACTAGAAAAATTGTTTCCTGTAATTGCATTGTGGTCCAAGTTAGGTTTTGATCGCCCTTTACATGGCTCCAAGTTTAAAATGTTAGGTCATCTCAAATGGATCAGGTCATAGGGCTATAGGCTCTTTTATAGCCCAAAATGAAGAAAAAAACCCTCTTGACTAGAGGTTCAAGCCAAAGAAAAAAAAGGGACCCACTGGGCCAAACTTTAGCCCATGGCCATCAAGCTGGACATTTGAAGCCAATCAGCCAGCCCAAAAGTTGGGTCTAGTTGTCAGTAACGCACATGCTAGCTGACGTCAACTAGCAATTAGATTTGAGATTTTTTTTAAGATGAAATTAAAAATCTATTTTTTTCCTATAAATATCTAAGCAATTTCTCACATCCTTTTCACCCTTCCATAGTATCTTACATCAATTTATTTCAATTTTTCGCATTTTGTAAACTCCTATCCAATTTTTTTTTTTGAAGCAAAACAAACATAGCATTCTAAAAAATTAGTAAGATTACATAAATAAAGATAAAAAATAGGAAGAGTTACTCATTTATAAATATGGTAGTTTAATTCAATTAACCAATAAAGTTAAAGAACAAACTTAAAAAACAATAAATTATTGAGGGGCAAAAAAATAGCCTCATTCGGTTAGAGATGATATATAAATATGGCTTGACAGTGCATTAAAAAATAATTTTTTGCAAGGCTATAATCTGGACAGAAGCTAAAAATGACCAATTCGGTTCGAGATGACTTTAATATGTTTTGAAAATTCTTTATATTTCTCTCCTTTTTATAACATTTTACAAAAAGACCAAAATACTATATTGCTTTGAGCACTCGCAAATTCTTCCTTCTAACTCGAAACCGTGTGCTTATGTCAATGGGTTATGTGGTAATTTAGGCTATTGTATCTGTGCTGCAGCGTTCAATATACTCAATGGAACATGTCTAGATCCTTGGACGCTAGTCTACTTTGCTTTTTCTCCATTCAGTGTTGAGATGTCAACACCTGCACGTAACTACTTTAAGATACAAATGAATTGCGACCTCCTAATGTTGTTAGGAATTTAGAGAGAGAGAGAGAGTCGCCTATAAAAAATTTAGAGATAAAAAGAGGGAAGGTTTATCACACACAATCATGTACATGATTTAGCAAATTTTCTCCCTTCAGTATTTTTACGCAAATTATGATATTCATGGTTTGGGATTCGAAGAAATCCTCTTGGTAGTTCTATTTGATCCTACATTAAAAGACAAACAAGTATTTTTAATTTTACGGGAAAATTGAGGGTTGTAATTTGTAGTCTTTCACTGAATGGAATTCAAATTTTGTCACCAATCGTCATAACTAAATACATTTTAAGAATTAAAAAGAACAAATTAGGAGCTTCACGCACTCTTTTTAGTTTCACATATCTTTTTGTTTAATTCTAATTTTTAATTCTATTTGATTTATTCAATTTAAGAACTAGAAATAAAGGAAATATAAAATGATAAAGCTGACGTCTAATTCATTTTTTCCTTATCAGAAGAGAAATGGAATCATAAATTGGACCTAACAAAGGGACGAAAATGTAAATAGACATTCCCTTTGAAAGGAAATATAAGTTCGAAACTACGATACGAATCCCTTGGCCACGAGTCTCCCTGCTCTAGCAGCCACTACTGAAACTATCATTTCACTCTCAAGATCAGCTTCTCCAACAATGGCGGCCATTGCTCCACCCTCCTCTTACTCCTTCTCAAAACCCTCCCCTTTCTCTTCCTCAGCCAAATCCCACCCCTCCATTTCCAGATTCAACCCCCCCTTCTCTCCTCTTCCCCAAAAACCCTCTCCCCTCCGCCACCTCCGGATCTCCAGCTCCCTCTCCCCCAAAACCGATACCACAATCACAACCGCCACCACCACCACCACCACCAACCCTCTAGACACAGAGGCCCCAATCTCCCGATTTTCCCCTGACGAGCCCAGAAAAGGCGCCGATGTCCTCGTTGAGGCGCTCGAGCGCCAAGGCGTCACCGACGTCTTTGCCTACCCTGGCGGCGCATCAATGGAGATCCACCAGGCTCTCACGCGCTCTTCTTCCATCCGCAACGTCCTCCCGCGCCATGAGCAAGGCGGGGTGTTCGCAGCTGAAGGCTACGCCCGCGCGTCGGGTCGTCCCGGCGTGTGCATTGCAACCTCCGGCCCCGGCGCAACGAACTTGGTTAGTGGCCTCGCCGACGCGCTCATGGACAGCATACCGGTGGTGGCAATCACCGGCCAAGTACCCCGGAGAATGATAGGCACTGACGCCTTCCAAGAGACCCCAATTGTTGAGGTAACAAGGTCAATCACTAAGCACAATTATCTTGTTCTTGATGTAGAGGACATTCCTAGGGTTGTTAGGGAGGCCTTTTTCTTAGCTACCTCCGGTCGACCTGGCCCGGTTTTGATTGATATACCCAAAGATGTGCAACAACAGCTTGTGGTTCCCAATTGGGATCAACCCATTAAGTTACCTGGGTACATGTCTAGGTTGCCCAAGTCCCCCAATGAGGGTCACTTGGAGCAGATTGTGAGATTGGTGTCCGAGTCCAAGAAACCGGTTTTGTATGTTGGTGGAGGGTGTTTGAACTCCAGTGAGGAGTTGAGGCGGTTCGTGGAGCTCACGGGGATCCCCGTGGCTAGTACTTTGATGGGTCTCGGGGCATACCCGTGCAATGACGAAGAACTGTCACTCCAAATGCTTGGAATGCATGGCACTGTTTATGCTAATTATGCTGTGGATAAGTCTGATTTGCTGCTTGCATTTGGGGTGAGGTTTGATGACCGGGTTACCGGGAAGTTGGAGGCATTTGCTAGCCGGGCTAAGATTGTTCACATTGATATTGACTCGGCGGAGATTGGAAAGAATAAGCAGCCTCATGTGTCGGTTTGTGCTGATGTAAAATCGGCACTGGAAGGGTTGAATAGGATATTGGAGCAGAAAGAGAGCAAGGTTAAGCTTGATTTTTCGGCTTGGAGGGCGGAGCTGAAAGAGGAGAAAGTGAAGTTCCCATTGGGTTTTAAGACTTTTGGGGACTCCATTTCTCCTCAGAATGCCATTCAGGTTCTTGATGAGTTAACTGATGGGAACGCGATTATAAGCACTGGTGTTGGACAGCATCAAATGTGGGCAGCTCAGTTTTACAAGTACAAGCGGCCTCGGCAGTGGTTGACATCAGGGGGATTAGGAGCTATGGGCTTCGGATTGCCTGCTGCTATCGGGGCTGCTGTTGCAAACCCGGATTCTGTTGTCATTGACATTGACGGTGATGGAAGTTTCCTTATGAATGTCCAGGAATTGGCAACGATCAGTGTGGAGAAACTTCCAGTCAAGATAATGCTGTTGAATAACCAACATTTGGGTATGGTTGTGCAATGGGAGGATCGCTTCTACAAGGCAAACAGGGCTCATACTTACTTGGGGAACCCAGCAAATGAGTCGGAGATATTCCCAAATATGCTCAAGTTTGCAGATGCTTGTGGGATACCGGCTGCCCGTGTGACAAAGAAGGAAGATCTGAAAGCAGCAATTCAGAAAATGTTGGACACTCCTGGTCCATACTTGTTGGATGTAATAGTGCCCCATCAAGAGCATGTCCTGCCTATGATTCCGAGCGGCGGTGCTTTCAAAGATGTGATAACGGAGGGCGATGGGAGATCAAGTTATTGAAGTTGCGGGCTGCGCAGCGCCTGTTTTTCATTCGGAAGAGTGTAATTTAGAGGTGTATGTATAAGTTTTTAGTTTATGTGCTAGTATTAGCTTGAACCAGTTGTGTCTGTTAAGTTTTGGCATCTCTTATTTAACTTGGAATAATTTTTAGCTTAAAGTTTGTGACTGATGATCAACTTTTTTTGGTGAGTTGAAAGTGGGGATGGAACTTGCACTGTGATGCATAGACATAATTGCATCTGCTAAACTGATTCGAGTTAAGAGTGTATTTTTTTGGGCTGTGGGCCTAAGACTCGAGTTTATTGATTCGCAGTTTCACTTACAAAAAGTGCGATTAAACTCGAGTTTTAGGGGCAAGGCACAAAACTACCCTCGACTCTATACATAAATGACCAACAGAAGATGACAGACGGATCAACAAGTACATGGTTGTTGAAGTCTCCTTTAGAGCATCTTATCTATAGTCCCCTAAAAAATTGAAAAATTAACAGGACGAGACAAAGAAGCAACCCAAGATTTGTCCTGATGACCACACCATTTTTGCCGACTCGCAGAGCCTGTATGGTAGACCGGATGGGATAGGATATAGGTATAAAGAGCATCACGGACAAAAGGAAAATTTTATTTTATTTTATTATTATTAGTTTTTTTTTTTTTTTTACATTAAAGAAAAGATTGTAGGCTTTACCTAATAATAAACTAGTAATAATGTGATTTAAATTTGATTTTAGCAAGAATTAAACATAAGACCTCTCAGTTACAAATAAAGAGGAATATCACTAGATTGTAGTACTAAGTAGCTTGACCGAAGGAATTTTACAAATTAAATTTTAGTTGTGCTATATTTAAGAATTAGGGCTAGCAAAAATATGATTCAAATTTACCTCTGGCAAAAATTGAACACAAGACCTCTCACTTACGAGTGACGATCAAAAACTTAGACATAACCTCAACTGTAAGGGCAACACGAACGCTACGCATGTACGGCATAGTATACCAACATCACGAAATGAAACGGCTGAATCACACTTCCAGCGCATTAGTGGTGTGGTACTCGTAGTGCATTTTATCATGGAACCCGGTCGAACAGGAAAAACAGCCATACAGTATGAATTCGTACTGTATAAACTTCATGACTAATGTGCTACTGAATCCATCGTTCGAGCCCATCCCATTCAACATCCCTCCATTGTTTTAGCCATTATCATCCCTCCGACATTTTATTGGTTAAAAAGTACAATGACAATCATCAAGCAAGTAAACGAATCCAGAACAACAAAATTTTTGATTAAACGAGAAAGAGACAAGGTCCCAAACATCGAAAACTAGAAAGTGCATGTATCATGGTCTTACAGAAACAAGGAGCATATGAGAACTAAAAGCTAATGCTTTCTTAAGGTTTGCTGCACCTATCATCCGTCTAACTTGATCTTCAGCATGACCTGCAACCACACGGGAAAACAAAATCAGTCCCCAATCCACATCCGATTCTACAACGAAAGATAACAAATATGTTTCAAATACTCCTAACCAACTTGCTAGTCTACGGTCTGGAATCCATAGTCTAATGACACTGTAGTCTATATTATTACATATGAATAAATTCAAGATACAAGAACATTGGACCAATTTTGTACATCAACATTTCTGTTAACCGTCCTTGATTCGACATCAATTTCCTAAGATACATAAGGCAGAATAATAGACCAACAGGGTAACACCAGAACTCGAACTAATCAATCGTGCCACAAGCATATCTCCCTATTTAGATCATATCACCAGATTCACCACATCCATTTCTACCAAATATCACGATGCAACGCCAAACGGCTATCCGTCCCAAACCACTAAAATAATCATAATGGGGTGAAACATTCAAAACCAAGAACAATGCACACATCTAAACAAAGAGTGATAAAAATCTCAACATTAAAGAACCATTGCAACTAAATTGTCATAGAAGAAAAACCAGTTATATATATGGCACTCAACGACTACGTTCCTCATCGAAACTTTCCACAATTTTTATAAAATTGAACAAACAAGAATTACCATAGTCAAATTAATCCGATTTCCAACTAATAAACAACCTAATCAAATCATAAATCGATCGAGCAAACCAATCAATGCATTTGATTAGATACAATAAATACCTAAACAGATCCGACGATGATGTTGTTGATGGGGATGAAGATCAGCTTCACGAAGAACCCGACGAAACCCATCACGACGAACCCGATCGCTGTCCGGAGCGCGACCTTGGAGAATTCTATACGACAATCAACCATCAAATCTCATCAATTACACATGCACATCAAAGAATATAACTTCTGAGAAAACACAGATCCGACCCGAATACTGAATTACCTTTGCGATCGGGCTTGTGGCAGCGCTTGACGAGGCGAATGCTGTCCTTGGAGAACTCTCGGAGCGGATCCACCACTGAGTCGATGGCGTCCATTTTCTCCTGAGCAAATTGGGAGACGAGGAGAGAGAGAGAGAGAGAGAGAGAGAGAGAGAGATGCAGAGGAGGGAGGAGTAGGACGAAATGGTCGGGTTTTGTAATGTTTGCGTGCTCACTTTTGGTTTCCTTTGATTTTGGGCCAGTGAAAAAGGCCCAATACAATAAAGAGTTCAGGCTCAAACACGGTAAACTCAAAAACCCGAGCCCTAAATCGATCGGCAGTTGTCGGAACACCAGTGGACACGGGTTGAATATGAGTGTGCAACCAATCACGTGCGACTCTCTTTACTTTCCAAACTAGTTTCACTTTAGAGCAGATCCACCCCACACTTTTTTGCCCAGCACCCTGTCCAATTAGCAACCCAGCACCCAGTCCAAACCCTCCAGCACGTGAAACAGCCTGGCACCCAGCCCACGCCAGGCAACAAGCCAGCCCATTTCGGACAGACCCAGAAGCCGGTCCATTTCCCTGGCACGTGCACAACACTCGCAACTGGGCGCAAGTAGCCGACAGCGCTGCAGCGCGGGCCCCGCGTGTCAGCGCAAGTGGGTTCGAACCGGTGAGGGCCACGTGGCCCTCCTTAGAGTCATTGGATTTCCAACAGCTAGTTTTTGTAGGCCGTTGGATTTCCAATGGTAAAAAAAATTTAAATTTGACTTTTAAAATGGACCGTCCGATCACAGATCGACGGTCCACGTTTTTTTCACAAAAAAAAAAAAGGCCCAACGGTCAGAATTTTGACCGTTGGCCACGTGGCAGCTTATTGGCTGTTGGATTTGATTATTTTTCAAATCCAACGGTCCAGATTAATTACAACATTAAAATTTATTAAAAAATAATTAAAATTTGTGAAATTTTTTTTAAAAATGCAGAAAAATTTTAAAAAATTAATTTTTTTTTTCTATAAATACATAACCCTCATCTTATGTAATTTCTTATTTACTTTTACAACTTTATTTAATTTGTTATGTAATTTCTTATTTATTTTTAGAACTTTATTTAAGTTCTTATGTAATTCAAAAAATCTTAGCGGAAATCTATTCAAAAAATAGTACGTTCGGATAATGACACATGACGTGACGAGATTGGTTAAAAATCCTATCCGAAATTAAAACTATTTTTTTATTTATTATTTTATAAAAAAAGTATTTAATATTTTAAATGGACTGGGTGCCAGCGCATTTTGTAGGGGTGGAGATCGTTTGTGCCAGCGCATTTTTAGACTGGGTGCCAGCACATTTTTCTAGGGTGGAGATGCTTTGGCCTATTACTGTTCATTGGGTCTATTACTGTTCAATTAAGTGGATAAATGGGCTGGGTGCTGGCGCAAAGTCTTTAGGAGTGAAGTTGCTCTTAGGGAGAAACCATTAGGTAATATTGTGCTACCACGTCACTCGTGATACTCTCGTTTAAAATTTGGCACAGGGACGTTTATCACAGCTAGATTTATAATTTACTTGATCGTAGCAAAATATCATATTTTTCTACCAAGCGATGTCTTCTGGCGATAAAATAAAGGAGCAATGCGCGATGCTGGAATAGTGACATTTTGGGCTTAACTTGTTTTTTTGGAGCCCAAGATGACCTCGGATGGGTTCGTGGCCTTCTGGAGATGAGTTCAGAACGTTCTTATCTTTAAAACAAGTTTTTATGGGCCGGATTCGGAGGAGATTTGGGGCTAAAACGTGGCTGGACAAGTACTTGGCAGATTCTCCTAGTTTAATTAGGGTTTTATTTTCTAAGATATTTTATTATTATTTAGTTTCCTAGTTGGAGTAAGAGACCTATGTTTTAGGGTTTGTGTGATTGCTCAGCAAATATATTGCTTTGCCGTTCTTAATCTTGGGATACGCTTTATTTTATGCTACTTTGGAGACAGAGAAGTTGGCTAGGGTTCTTGGAGATTTTCTACTTTAAGGTGTTTTCATTCCTTTTATTCTTAATAATATTTTCTATGATTTCAATTATGAATATGCGTAGCTAATTCCTTTTGCTAGGTTGAAGCCTTAAGCCTTAGCATGAATATGTGATTTTTATTTAATTGCTTATGATTGATTGCATGCATACTTTCAATTATTGATCACCATGATTAAAACTATCTAATTGTCTTAATGCCTGATCACCATTAGGATTTCTAGAAAAGTAATTTGATGCAATTTTGGTCGGAAGGTTCCCTGAAATTGACGTTGGCTTCTTGTGATTAATAATTGTAATTTCACTTAAGATGAACACCACGTCTTAAGGGTTGCATGGTTTTTCAAAGGGTTTTCATAAAGCATAATGAGTCTTTCATGTTCAGATTCGATCCAAACATCTGGACGGGTTGCATGTTAGATATACATTCTATGTTGGAGGTTCCAAGTAGAATATAAATTAGGAAAACCTAACCTTCAAAGTGGCATTTGTAGATCATAAGTAATTGGTAAAAATACATATGATTGCTTGGTGATAGTGGAACCCTAGTGCTTTTATAAATTGATATTTAAAACTCGTTTCTTTTGTCATATTAGTTTTTAATTGAAATTCGTTTTTTAATATTACCCAATTTCAGAATCTCTTTTCTCAATTTTTAATTTTAAGTATTTAATTAGGAATTGTTTCTACATAAATTATCCAAATAGTCTTTGAGAAGAACGACCTTGCATGAGCATCTATACTACAATAGCCTTGTATTCTTGCAAGTATTTTATGTGTTTTTATCCCT